TTGAATATTCATGCCTCGTGTCTGCAGGATATGCGAGACCGCTTGTGGATAGGATAGATACCAGGAAAGTGCTCAGCAACCGACTTTATCGACCTTCAACTGTCAGCACGTAAGTTATCCTGAATTAGGTTGCTGTGTTTTATCTTAAAAAAAACGGTTTGTGATAGGTTGTTGAGATTTCTATACCTTGTCTGCAATTCGTAAACAGGCAATACCGGGATCATGTGAAGGATCTGTTAAGCACATCAAAGAATATGTATAGGACAGTAATTGTTGACAATAACCCTTTCAGCTTTTTATTGCAACCATCAAATGGGATTCCATGTATTGCATTTTCCGCAGGGCAGCCAAACGACACTCAGGTCTCTATTAATTACTACTCTTCTCATACATTTTTGACCTTGTAGACTATTGTGACCCATGGAAACTAATCTGATTATATAACTTGCAGCTCTTGGATGTTATTCTACCGCTATTGAAACAACTGTCTGAGGAAGATGACGTACGACCAACACTTTATGATCGGTTCCGCATGCCTGAATGGTTTGAGAAGCAAGGCATACCACCTTCGTGCTGGAATCCTTAAACCAGATAAGCGGAAAGTCGCGAAAACCAAAATATCAGAAGTCTCTGGTCCACACAAAGAGGGCAAAAGGAATTGTTTGGTACAGTAGTAGTTTAAGCAATGGAAGCCACAGGAAAAGGAAGGAAGGCACATAAACTACCATTCGTATTGTCTATAATCTATGGTAGATTCCTTTTTACAGGATTAAACTCTTTTACACATTCTTGATTTCAAGTGAGATTCTCTGTAGCTTTCTCTGTAATTTTGTTAATGATCAAGCATTATTTTTTATCTTTCGGAATGGTTCGGTTTTGATTTACCCGACTTGTGGATTAAACCGAAGTAGAAATTGGGTGTTGTATTATAATAAACAAAACTTCTCTATGCATGGTGATGATAGTGAGACCCATTCACATTCCTAACTACCATCAAATCCGCATAATATAGACCACTCCCCAATCTAAGATGAGTGACATACTAAAGAATATGATTCTTATAAACGATGAAAAAACAATACTATCCTTTTCAATAGGATCCAGCAAAAAAAAAGGTATTTGCCTTAGATTGAAATCCTGAATATTGTGTTGAAAGATATGTGAAGATCCAGCAAAAAGTATATGATTGAGGCAAATGTTCCTAACCTTAGCTAGCAGACATTATAACAATATCATTCCCTAAACAAATACTCCTTTTAAAAGCTCATTAAATACACATATTTGTACAGGTCAAAAGAGTTCGTGAGGGTTACATTACAAGACCTGTCATGTTCCTAATTCTTATAATAATCAATTGTGTAATTTGTTGCAACTAATCTTTAAATGTTTATTGTATGGTCGGCCCTTCTCATGTTTGTTGTTAATAAGTGGATCGTTTGTGAGCTGTGTGCTTAGACTTCTAAGGCTTCTCTTTTTGCACATCTCTTAATTAAAGTCTAACTACTCCCATGAAGTTTTACTTTTCTTTCCGGGCTCGTTTAAATTTGCTAGGTTGCTTTATTTGTTGTATACTACTATATTCATTCTTTCAACTTCAGCTGGATACCAATACCAAGCACAATGACGCGTGATGGTATTTCGTAAAATTGCACTGTGAGATTGGAAATACATTTATTTTCATAGAATACACATATATATGCCTAAGATGTATCATATAATTCACTTGTAAGAAATCGATTTATGGTTAGAAAGTCACTGATGTGCGTTTTAGATTAGTGTCGAATTAATATCGTACGCTTATTCAAGATTATAGAACTAGTCTTGCTCTTGCATGCATGCATTAATCTTGTGATCATAGAAAAATAATAATTCAGAACTCAATGTTAGACCAGTACGAAACTAATTACATAAATTTGCTTTTATTAGTAAAAAGGGACGTATTACAATATAAACGGTTTGACATTTTAGTTTCCTAGATAATCTATTGTTGTACGGTTTGACATTATTTGTCGCATATGTTACTTTTATAGAATTCAACTATAGCAACGAATACCAAGCACTCTTAATTATATTTAGACAAGAAAAAGTTTTATGAAAAGTGCAACCTATGTGAATATGAATCACCCAGGGTGGTTGAAGGCACCTTAAAACATAAAAAGATTTAAAATGATTTTCCAGTTTTCTAAATGTATAAATAAATAAACACATTCAATTAGTAATTGATAGATAATTCACTTTCCATGTTTTGGCAAAAAATGTATTGTATAACAAAATTATATGAACACTTAATTACAATAGATCAGACAAATCGAACAATGTTAGTAAAAACTGCAAGTAAATAGATAACAATTTTATGGTGGTTTTAGTAGTCGAAACTTTTTTTATAGAGTTGGAGAACATGTGATTTCAAGTATAGGTTGATTCCTAGTAATTTAATAAAAGTTTGATATGAGTTTTGGTTCGAGATTTTCATGTTATATACTAAAAACGTTTTTCATGATATGATGTTTTTTTAACACATACAGTATGTGGTCACTGGTCTAAGATTTTGACCATGAAGTCTTCTTAGTTCTTTCCATTAGAATCTAACCCAAAAAAAAAAAAAATGGAAGAAGCTTAATTTTTCGATGACCAAAAGAAAGAAAAAAACTTATTGACGTATTACATATTGTATGTCTAGACTTAGTCAATTAGTCCCCAGATTGTTAGATTCTAGATCATTATTAGAAGACTGCATGATTTTATTATAGTTGACCAAGCAATCAATCCACTCACTTGAATTTTCCCAAATGATGTTAAATAAATAAAAAACTTTCCCAAATGATTTTCTTAAGCAGTACCATTTTTTCATATATCATATTGCTATTAAATCAAATACAAACATCAGTACATCAAAGAACAAAACACAAACCAAAATAAATTCGAGGACGTGAAATTCATGCAAGTATGTGTGTCGATCGTCGTCGATATCGATCTTCACCCATGGTTTCCAATAGATTAAACAAAACTTGAATAAAATAAATACACAGAAGAAAATAGAAGTATATAAAGGTGAGGTTGGGGATACAAGTCAAAACCTAAGAGCAACATTAATGATAGTATTTAAGGGGTATCTTACAACATTAATGGTAGTATTTAAGGGGTATGTTAGGATAAGATACCCCTTAAATACTACCATTAATGTTGGTCTAATAATGTTAGGAGAGTATTTTTGAAGGGAAATGGGAGAAATGTGTGGCAGAAAAGATTCAGAGAAAGTTTCTTCTCCAAAGTGTGTCTCCTCCTCCATCTTAATTCTGGTCTCAGCTTTGACTCACTTTCATCCATATAATATAAATACAACTTTACTTAGGGGAATGCTACTAAGTTACTTTGAACCGGTGTTAATTGCAAATACTACGTACTCAAGAGCACCATATATAGCTAATTAGTAGTATTTTAGTGTACAATACAAATCAAATCAACCTATATATATTGGAGCTTCTTTGGTCAAATATGGGGAGCCATTTGTTGTTGAATACTTTTCTTTTTTTGCTGTCGTTTTCAGTTTATCATTTCCACTCTCAGTTTTTTTTTAAAAAAAAATTTGAGGTACTTTTCGTCAACTAATTTTCTTTATCACAAAGCCGGAATTAATCATTCGTTTTCTCAAGTTCTTTATTAAAAAAAAAAAATTTGTATACGTTTACTCTAATACCATTGTTAAAAATGGATAGTACAATTTATAGAAAAACATGAGAAAATCTTGTTGCTATTAATTAATAAAACTATGACACGTTTCTAATTATTATAAAAAGCATGACATGCATCTAAATTTTCTTGATCAGCATATCATAGAAGTTCACTCAACTGCAGTTAATTTCCATTTTTTTCGTAACATGGAAATTTTAAAATTTAGTATATGTAACAGTCGAAACATAAAGAATATATATGAGAAAATAGACAAATATTTGAAATAAAAGTCATAGTAAATATAATATATTCTTTATAAAACATGGAAATAAATAATAACAAAACTAGCTTGCTGAAAATAAAAAATAAATGAATTAGAAAACGAGAGCATATATATGAAATATACGTGTATATATTTTTCCTTAAAAAGAACTATGAGGTTGAAATAGTCTTTTTATGTATAGAAATAGTAATATTATTAAATAAGAACTAATACTAGTTTCAGTTTTTCAAGATACCTACATCATATACTTTTTGATGGATCAACATACATAGTAAATTAGTAATACATATTGTGCAAATGTACTTTTTGGTTTTATGGTCGTAATTTTTTTTTCATTAATGGTCTATCCAATGTTTAGGAGAAAAAATTTATAATATAATTCTCAATTGACCTATTGATGACGATATGTGGACGATACTAGACTAAATTAGTAAATTGTATTCTAACAAAATTAAGGATAGTTTTTGAATGAGAAAGGTTTAGGTGAATTGAAATAAAAAATAAATTCTTTACATATGAATACTTAGATAGACAAAAAAAAAAAAAAAGATATGAATACTAGTCAAAAACAGATACTGGAAAGTTCAACAAACAAAAATTCACAGTTTAATAACTTCATAGAACCAGAGAAAAAAAAAACACCATTATGGAAACATAGACCTTATATACATAATAGTTTGAAATTTATTATATATTGTATGGCCAATTTATATGATTCACACTACTTTTGTATCGTATCAGCGGTTGTTGCATGACTAATAATTAAATCAAACTATATAATATACGCACACATATACATCGTAGTAGTTGTGTCTATATTTAAAAATATTGAAACGGTCCAAATAATTCAATTCAAGAATCTGTAAAAGGTAATAGCAGTCGTTAAAAGCTAATTTAAACACATATTTAATGACAAATAACACTCTTCGTATTCATAAAGTTACTACTGAAATTTCTTTTTTCATAAAGAAATATAATTATTACAATTAGTATGTTATTACAAAATTTAATGCTTTGTTATAAATACATTTAAAAAGACAAAACAGAAACGTGACACTCGAACATATTTATAAAAAAACGCATTTCTTAAGCAAATCCCTTCACTAATTACGTAATTTACTGTTTTGTCTCTCCCCTAATAAATCTCTAAAACGTCTTCTTCCTTCTTCTTCTTCTTCTTCTTCTTCTTCTTCTTCTTCTCTTTGCTCTAACAGAGTCTTTTGTTGAGTTCTGAAAAAAAAAATATGAACCAATCCAACTCAGAATCGACGACGAAGACGACAATAGTCAAATTCAACCTCTGTAGATGAAGAGGTTTATCAATTCAACCGTGACGTTTTCCGTCACCGTTACCGTCGCTGTTATATTCTTCTTCCTATTGTCTCCTGTCGCCTCCTTAGGTTCAGGCTCAACTTACGCCGTCGTTTACGGTTCCGACACCGTCTGCGCTTTAGTCTCCGGTCAATCCACGCAGAGTATACTCTGTTACGACACGCGCCGTCGCACCAGCGTCACTCTAAAGCCCGGCGTCTCATTCTCCTCAATCGCCGCCGGAGATAATTTACTCTGCGGTATACGCTCCGGTGGTTACAGCCTTCTCTGTTGGGACAACATCGGAAGCTACACTCTCGATCCTAAACGAATCTACCTAAACGACACCGTTCTGCTCCAGAGTCTCTCCGTCGGCGATACACAAATCTGCGCCACCGTCAACGGCACAAGTTCTCTAAAATGCTGGAGAGAATCAGACCAATCGAAACCCCCGGACGAGAGGTTCCGGTCAATTTCATCCGGCGTTGGTTTCTCATGCGGCGTTTCGATTCCAAACAACAGGATCCTTTGCTGGGGGTCCGATTCAGCGAAATCGGGTCGGATCCAAAACGGGTTCGGAAACGCGACGATGATGACCATATCGGCAGGTGAATCACACGCCTGTGGATTAAACACTGCTGGGGATTTGATCTGCATCGGAAACAACGAATCTGGGCAGCTCAACGTTACATCGAACCAACCGAACCGTTACTCATCTCTCTCACTCGGATCAAACTTCACCTGCGCGACGAGAAGCTCGAACAACTCGGTGGTTTGCTGGGGCGGAGGAGCTGAGAGATTCAACAATGTCACAGACTCGATCTCGTTCGAGTCGATTTCTTCGGGTCCGGGTCTAATCTGCGGGTTGATCTCAAGTAATCTCACAATCATGTGTTGGAACCCCTCAAATTTCTCAAGAATATTCCTCCCTTTCCCAGAAGTATTACCAGGTCCTTGCGTTGAATCATCATCTCTCTGCTCTTGTGGTATCTATCCACAATCTGATAAGCTCTGTTCCGGTTCTGGTTCCATCTGTAGATCATGCCCTGTTCAATTCCCGGCGAGTCCTCCGGGTCAGATTCCTCATCCACCACCACCACCACCACCGTCAGCTTCTTCTCCTCCGTCGAAAGCTTTAACCAGAGGGTTGCTAGCGTTTGCGATCGTTGGATCAGTTGGAGCATTCGCAGGGATATGTAGTGTGGTTTACTGTTTATGGACAGGAGCTTGCTTGGGGAAGAAGAAAGTTCATAACTCTGTTCAACCGACGATAACCCGCGGTGGATCTAATAGCCGGTCTAACAGCTCCAATAGCCGGTCTTTAACCATAAGACGTCAAGGATCGAGAATGCTATCTATGAGGAGACAGAGAAGTGGGACGTCGTCGATGAAACACGCCGATAAAGCGGAAGAGTTCTCGTTTGCCGAGCTAGCTTCAGCCACCGGAAACTTCTCTCTAGATAACAAAATCGGTTCCGGGAGCTTCGGTGTTGTTTACAGAGGAAAACTCGACGACGGGAGAGAAGTCGCGATCAAACGCGGCGAAGTGAACGCGAAAATGAAGAAATTACAAGAAAAAGAAACCGCGTTCGATTCGGAAATCGCGTTTCTATCGAGGCTTCACCATAAGCATTTGGTGAGACTGGTTGGTTACTGCGAGGAAAGAGAAGAGAGGCTTCTCGTCTACGATTACATGAAGAACGGTGCGCTTTACGATCACCTGCACGACAAGAACAACGTGGAGAAACACAGCAGTTTGATAAATTCTTGGAAAATGCGGATCAAAATCGCGTTGGACGCGGCTAGAGGAATCGAGTATCTACACAATTACGCGGTGCCACCAATCATTCACAGAGACATCAAGTCATCTAACATATTGCTAGACTCGAATTGGGTCGCTAGAGTTTCGGATTTCGGGTTATCACTAATGGGTCCTGAGTTAGGGAAAGATCATAATCATCATCATCAACGTCCAATGAAAGCTGCGGGAACGGTCGGATACATCGATCCGGAGTACTACAGTCTCAATGTTTTAACGGACAAGAGCGACGTGTACGGACTCGGAGTGGTGTTGTTAGAATTGCTGACAGGGAAAAGAGCGATTTTTAAAAACGGTGGTGACGTGGAGGAAGGGAGCGTAGAAGCGGCGCCGGTGCATTTAGTGGATTACTCTGTGCCAGCGATAACAGCGGATGAGCTGGGAACGATATTGGATCCGAGAGTGGGATCGCCGGAGCTAGGGGAAGGAGATGCGGTGGAGCTGGTGGCGTATACGGCGATGCATTGTGTGAATGCGGAAGGGAGAAATAGGCCGACGATGACGGATATAGTTGGGAATTTGGAGAGAGCGTTGGATTCGTGTGGGGATAGTCATGGGAGTATCTCTAGTGGTATTTGTTCCATTGTCTCTGATTGATTGAGAGAAAATTAAAAAAATTTGACTCTCTCTCTCGGTTATTTAATTTTTTTACATAGGAAATATTTTTTGAGGATTTCATTGTTTCTCTTAGAAATTTCGGTTTCTTTAATATGGTTGTTTCTTACTACACCTTTTTCGTTTGTAAATACAGTGTTTAGCGTAGGAGAATTGGAATATTGAATATTCGTGGTCTAACTCCTTTTGGTTGGGGAAATGTATAATTCGGACAGCGGGAGAGCGAATGATTGGAAAATGGAAATGTTTATTTCATTGTTTTCTTTTTTATTACATAGAAGGAAGATGAGAATGATGATGTCGTTCTTTCTGGTCAAAAACGTATTCTTATACTTAGCTTTATGGAAGCCGCATGTTAGATAGAGACGATACTTAATAATAATGTAGCTTTGGGCTGTGGATGTAATAAACTTTAGTCAAACTGCCGTCCATGTGGGTGTGTTATCTCGTCTGATATTCTTGGAAATTCCCAAAAGCCAAAAAAAGCTTTTAAAGTTTTGAGAATAGGAGAATAAAAGAAGGTAGGGTCTAGTCGTTATGACACTTGTGTGCTCTCATATGTTGACATGTCATTATGCCAACAAACGAATGCGAATCTGTTTTGACTTTGAAGATTCCGATGTACTACCGGTCGGTCAACACTTCTTGTCTTTTTCGGAATTTTCGAAATTATCTGAAATTTCTTCTATTTTTTTGTACGGTAATTGTGATATTTATAAATTTGTAAAGTGAATTATAAGCTTAACTATGTGTCTGTCTATTGTTAGACAGCATATACAAAGTTAAATCAAAAAGTGAAATTTTATGCCAATATTGCTATACAGAATGTTAGTAATCCACTTGTTCGGTTGATGTGCTTTAAGTCCATATATTAAGGCAATATCTCTGCAAAGCAATTTTACATGAAACACATTGGTCCCAACAATGAAATAAAACCAGTGTTACTACTAGGCTAGTAGTGGTAATATGCGGGTGACAGCTAATTTAGCTGGAGCGGTGCTTCCAAGTTCAGTATTGAATTAGCATCGGCACGATATATTAATATATGGGTAGAAGAAGATATACATGAATAGTTTTAATTTAACAAAACGTATGGCGGCAGCTCACGGTGGTGGGTTATTCATGGCGGTGAGGACAGCCAGTAATTAAATGACTTACTTGTTTCATTTCATTCATAATTTTTCCCTACTCTTAACAACTTTTTCTATCTTTCTTACTCTATATTTCTCTGTTTAGGATGATGTCTATCATATGCCTTTACTAACAATGGTAGATCTATCCAAAATATAATAAATTTCATATATAATAAGCAAAACCAAAGAAATACAATGATTTTGCAAGTTTTTAACTATATCACGACATTTCTTGTTTACTTCATTCAACTGAAGCCTATGATGCGGAAGCAATGTGATGGCACAACTTTATACAAATAGCATATACCGATATACACGTTGTCTTTAAGCTCACAGACACAGCTCAAAAATCAAAATTACAAAACCCTTGAACCAATAAAGAACATTCTCGCTATACCAACATCCACAAACCCAAATCACAAACTCCAATAAAAGTGCTTAAACCAAAAAACAACATGTCTTGTATTACATACTCACACAAACTCCAACCGCACAAGAAGCTTCACGGATCTACACTTCACACCATCTTGGTTACGCAGAGAAACGGCACGTATTCCTTGCCTCAGCTCCCATACCGGCAAGCAAGTTTGACCTCCAAAATCGTCTTTCTCAGACATGTCATACTCATGTACCTCAATACGTAGAAGAGCAAGCTCTGGAACTGTTAATGGGAACTCAAACACCTCGTCCCAAGCTGGTATCCAGTTATCCTCTAGTGTTTTCGTCTTCTTCATCACTGTATCCGCTGGAACTCCAGCGATTCCAACCTGAGATCAATTTTTGAAACTCAGTTTCAGCTTTCAAGACTCAAAACATAAAGGCATGCTTGCATATTTTTTATACCCTTGTATAGAAGTCAGGTGGAGAGTATCGATCGAAGTGTGTGTGAGGAAAATCATAGTACCATCCTTCTCCCATGTATATAGTTACCTAAAAATATATATAAACAAACCAACCATTATGAAGAGCTCATGAAATTTTATTGAGGATTCATCATTTGGAAATGATCAAAACAGAGAATAGTTCTCTGACCCTTAATGTTGTTTTTACTGGTAATGAAGCTTCCGGGTCAAATACAGAATCTGATTTCAGCAAAATATCAGGTTTCTTGATGTAGCCACATCCTCCATTGCCTCTAAACATTCCTTGCATTACCCACAATGATCTTCCAAGTCCCTTCACACAAGATATACTCATTTCAAGAATTCAAATTTTGTTGCAACTATATGTATATCTTGCATATGATTTGATGTTTTGTTAACTGGAAGGAGAAAACTTTGGAGATGTAAGAAATATTAAGAAGAAACCTGCATATTGAAAGCCACCATTTGAGCTCCATGGCTCCATCCAACGAGAGGGTTGTAATTCGATGAAGTAATCCTAGTCCCTTTCGGATAAACCCGGAGCAAATTCCGCTGAGTAAACCTACATTATTTACTCCATGATCAACAGAGTTTCTTATGACATTTTGAAACATAATTTAATCTCTGTATGGACTGATCTTATATTTGAGAAGAGGAACTTGAGAGAAATACCTCACAATCTGTTTAGCATATTTTTCTGAGGCCTTTTCAAGTTGTTCTTCACTCAAGCTAAGCCTTCTTACTTTATCAGGATCCACCTTCAAACATTCAGTTATCCCGCCTTTCGGTTTCCCGGCCTGGATTGCAATCAAATGCTTGTATTCCGGTGGCGCATTCTTCTTAATCTTATCATCACCATCGTCGTCATCGTCTTCATCATCATCATCAGTAACATCATCTCCATTAGAATCATTCTACAACAAGGAATAAAGATAAGAACAACTAATACATATGAAAAACGAATGAGATTAAAATGAAGATGATGTGTCATGTGTTTCTACACAGACCTTGTCACCGCTTCTATCCCTTCGAACAAAGCTTGGAACTTCTCTTCCCCAAACCTCTTCCTCTTTCAAATCCCTACTTTTTTTCACCACATCGTCATCTTTTGCTGCTTTATACTCCTTAGGAGGTTTAGTTGAGATCATTATACGATTTTTCAAAGATGCAGGCGATGGGAACTCTTTTAAGCATTCCCCGGAAGGAGCAGTAAACAACATTTCTCCAAATATATCTGTAACCATCTAGAACAACACAGCATCTCTATATCAATCAATTACTAAACCCAAAAAAAAAAAACACATCTTAAAGAAATGCAAAAGAAGCTACACACCTCAGCAACTTTAGCTTGGAGGTTAGGAGTAAGATGATCTTCAAGAGTCACAACAACTGGATAATCAGATACATCAAAGGCATGTTCTCTAATAGCTCTTAGACATTTGATCAGCTCCACAGGTGATGTAAGAGTCCTAATATTTAAAAATGTTCAGTAAGAACAAAACCAAAAAGAAAACTTCAACGAACAGAGACAATTACTATAGCCTCTCATCATGTGTACCTTCCATGAAGAACATCGATACCATCTTCATCAGAGTTAGGCCAAATATCCAATTCAATAACTCTAACACCTTTTTTCAATGCTTCAATTATAGGCACTTCACTGCAATCACTACTCAGTTGATTACCAGTTAAATACGAATTATGTCCTGTATATATAAAATAGTGAGACAAAGGAGCATCCATATCTTGATGCACCTGCCAAACAAAAAAAAAATTCATATAGTAATTCAAGAATCAAACAATCTCTACAAGAAAAATACAAAAATCTCGATCTTGATTTCGATTACCTCAAGAGAAGAAAGAGGAGAGTTGTTAATAGCAAAAAGGTATTTGAAGAAAGCATCAAGGTGGAGACCATTACGATGAAGAAGAGAAGATGAGGCGTTGACGATGGCTTGAGCTTCCTCTCTGGTCGCTTTGTCTTGTTTCTGAACATCGATAAGGAACCTGAGGAGGAGATCGGTGGTCATGAGACCTCTGTCGGAATAAGTCTCGAAAAGGGTCTTGATCTCGGGCGGTGCTACCGAGACAGTGTGTCGATACCTCCGACGGAAGCAGAAACAGACTTTGTATGTTTGCTTCGACATTGTAGGAAAATCACAGACCGATGGCGATGACGATGAAGATGAAGATGATGATTGATTCGTCCAGAGTGTGAGTTTTGATGATTGGAAGAAGGGAATGTGATCTCTCTCTCTCTCTCTGTCTCAATCTGAATTTTAGATGTGTTGTTCTGTTTCTCGTTGGCGGTTTGATTGTAATAGTGACTTTTTCCATAAAACTTGGGTTGTAATGTAAAGATATGAATTTGCATTTATGTGTTATAATAGATTTAATTAGTCCACGTGGATTATTTCTTTGATTTATGTCGGCAGATTTTCATTTTATTATCTCTTCTAATTGTTCTTTTGACTTCTTTTTAATAATTTAATTAGATAAGTTCTTTACTTGCTCTAATCAACTTCGAAGTGGGATGTAATTTGCTAGCCATGAAAAATATATTAAATGATTTTAAAAATTATTGTAGTGTAAGTTTTAAGAAAAAGGAACAAAATCAGCGTAATACTAGAACAAAACTCATAAAGGAATTAACAAGAACAACAACAAAATTGTTTCAAAAAGAAAAAAAAAAAAGAACAACAACAAAAAATGAACAAAACTTATAGTACATTTATATTGAATCTCTTTTTGTATTAAAAAATAATAATTGTCAAAAAAATTCACAGGTCTAGTTCACGTCGAATTTTGGGTCTAACTTTGAAAACTATTTTATATTAGGGTCATATTGAGAAACTGTTAATAATATGAGGGTACCGTTTTAAATATCTCTGCTACTCTGTTGTAAACAATGGTTACAACAAAACCGTTGATGGTGTTCATTGACTCATTTCCCAGATTCCGAGCTCTTTTGGTCGGAGCATAATCGTTGAGATCTGGGGAAAACTAAGAAGCACGAACCTACTTTGATTTAAACTAATGGCGATTACGGCGACTAGATTGGTCTCTCTTACTCTCTTATGGATTCTCGTCCTCTTCGTCACACTTGCTCTCATTCAGGTTTATTTGGAACCTTGTTTTCTATTTTTCTGATCTTTTTGTTTGTTACTTTAATTCGATTATCTGGGTTCGATGGATGACTTACGTTTGTGGCTTCAATGTTCAATTTTGGATTCTTAGATTAAATTGACTGATGTTGCGGATCCTAGTGTCAATGAGCAGATTGTTGATGCTAAGCTCAATCAGGTGAGGTCGGAACCCATTGCATTGTTTTGTTTATAAAGTTTTTGATTCAGGTTTTTCTAATTTGGGTTTTTTTGAAATTTCTGAGGTGGGAGAGGATTTGGAAGGAGTAACACACAAAGTTTACTTTGACATTCAGATCAATGGTTCACCAGCTGGTAAACAAGTTTCCACCTTTTTCTATTTTCTTCATTTGGAGTTTGAATTTCTTATGTGAATGTGGTCTTTAAAGATCTTATATAGCTATTTGTTGTTTGTATGCAAATAGTTGATTGAGGATGTTTCAGTTTCCGGAATTGGCTTGGTTTCTCAATCATATAAGTGGGATGCATTGTGTGTATTAGAACGTTAGTCTCTGAATTAGAAAGTGGTACTGTAACTGTTGGCTTGCAGCTTCACAAATCTTCTGCAGCTCATGCAAATAGAGTTTATAGTAACATATGCATCTTGTCATGTACAGGGCGCATTCTCATCGGCCTTTTTGGCAAGATAGTTCCTAAAACCGCTGGTAAAGCTTTTCATTTAGATCGCCCAAACCGCTTCACATTGTCTTGTCTACTTGTCCCTGAGTTGTTTCGTCCTTACTGAATCCTCGGTTTCTTTCGCAGAGAACTTCCGAGCACTTTGCACGGGTTCGTTTCCCCTTTAAAACCCTTGGCCTTTAGTTTTCACTCATGGCTTCTTCTGAGTTCTGAGCCAAGAGACTCTTTTGGTTTGATGTTTATGCTCCTGGTGCAGGAGAGAAAGGAGTTGGAAACATGGGGAAACCTCTTTATTTCAAAGGAAGCAGCTTTCACAGGATCATTCCTGGCTTCATGATCCAGGGTGGAGATTTTACACGAGGCGATGGGCGAGGTGGAGAGTCGATCTATGGCGATAAATTTGCAGATGAGAACTTTAAGCTCAAGCACACTGGGCCAGGTATGCGCCAAAGCTACCTCTTATGGCCAATAAACTCAATATATAGTCAATGAAAGACTTACGGGATAGGTCTGCGAATGGATTTCAGGATTTTTATCAATGGCAAACTCGGGACCAGATTCTAACGGTTCACAGTTCTTCATCACAACAGTCACCACGAGTTGGTAAGCAGGCGTGATGATATATTTGCTTGTCTCCAGAATCTTCAATCTTAGTTTTGACTATGTGATATTGAAATCTTTCTTGTTTTGGGAAAGGTTGGACGGGCATCACGTTGTGTTTGGGAAGGTATTGTCTGGCATGGAAGTAGTGCGCAAGATTGAAGCGCAGGGACAAGGCAGCGGAGAGCCCAAAGGAAAAGTTATTATTTTTGCTAGTGGAGAAGCTTCTTTGTAATATCTTCCTAGGTTTCTAATATTTCATCCGAATGAACACTGAGATTCAAAAAAAATGTGTGTAAATCATTCAAATGCAGACCCTGAACCATTTTCATCTACCAAGTCCGATTGATGATAGCCGGTAAAGTCTGATTGAACAATAGCTGGAAGAACTTGTTTAGCAGGAATCTCCCTATACAAATCGTAATTATCTAAGATATTGTTTTAAATTAGAAAAATAGAACAGTATAATCATATCTTTAATTAGGAAACTAATTATTTCAGATATTGTTTTAAATTAGAGAATATATCATTAATAATTTGAAGATATGACTATATCTTAACTCTTTAAGCATAGTCAGTTGTATTTATTTTGTGATCAAGCATATATTATACCAATTCATTATATTTATTCATGTAATCAATAATAATAATAATTAAAACCAACAAATAATACTTTAATAATTATATATGACTGTAAAAAAAATTAAAAAATATAATCTTATTTTTTAAAACTCCGATTTTCTAATATTTAATAACATCGCATTAACTAAAACATTACTAATTTTAATATTATTGAATTAAATTAGATAATATCTATTAAAATAATATTAGAAGGAAATAATTAGTTAAGTTTATTTATTTTACATCAAATGGTTACACCTTCGAAATTTATGAGTGAGACGCTGGTTAAAACTTTCCTTCACACTTTCTTTGGGTGTGCACAGCTTTTGTTTATCAATCTTCTCTATATAGAGTTTTTTTTCTTAAACTCATTAAAGATCAAATTTTTTTTTATTTAAAGAAAAAAGTTTAAATAAAACCCATATTATTAAAATCTCTAGTAGAAGAATTAAAATCTAGGTAGAAGAAAAATGTACAATTTAAAACAAATGTGAGAGAGATAGAGAAGGAAAAAGCTCAAGCATCATCTCCATCGCTAATCAAGTCGTTGCTATCATGAGGACCTGAAATCTTAAATCTGTTACAAAACCAAAAAAAACATTTGAGATCAAACCTTATATACATTCTTAAACCAGAATTTGTGTTTATATATGTTAACTTGGAAATGTGATTGATTGAAAAAAAAACCAAGAAGAAAATTCTCACAATTCAAGAACAGATTTTCCTTCCTTGTACTTTTGGCTCTTATCATGTGCAAACTCCTGAAATCATAAACACACACACAATTTTTAACTCCCATGGTACAAATTCAATCAAACATATTTATAATTTTTTTGTTTGCAAAAATTAAAGTTGGTGTTTGTTGTCTAACGTATTTCCAGCCAACGTTTGATCCACAGCCAACACAAAAGATGTCAACTACAGTGTGCATTCCAGTTATCATCATCCTATCTTCTTTCACTCCAACAGAGATGTTCACACTAAAACGAAAAAACATAGATACACAAAGGTTAGACCATTTAATCAAAAGACTAACTAAACATTTATCTCTTCTAATGTCTTAAAGAGTTACAAGTGGTCACGAAATCAGAAACACTTACACGTTATTGAAGAGATAAGCTCTTCCATGCGTGCATTGAAAAGTCTGCACAAGTTTTTTTTTTAAAGAGTCAATACTATATACATCTATATATATAAATGCGAGTTTGTTGTTATAGCACTCTTATGAAATATACATATTAACAACTCACCATGATGCAAATGATCGAATCAGAACTAATTAAAGAGGATCACAATATACAAGTTTGAAAGGAATCACTGAAAATTCCAAGACAAGGTATATAATATCTAATCGTCTATAATCAGATTCATGACAAAAAAAAGAAAAAAAGAGATGATGGAGGATTGAAAAAGATAGATCAAACCTTGGAGATGATGTCTTGGTCTTTAGAAAGATGAGTCTTACAGTGTTTGCAGATGTAAATGTCTCCTTCCAGATCAACCATAAAAACCCTACCCATCGTTTGATTCAAAAACAGTATATATCCTTAATCACGTATGAGTCGAATAAATCCCTAAAACCGAGTCTCTTCGTTTGGTTTATAGTGGGGAGGAGAAGGAGGAAATCGAGGGGAAAATAGTTGGACTATGTGAGATTTTTTCGGTAGCGTATAGAAAAAATAACTGTGAACTTGATTCGGTCTTATTGGATCTTTTTTTTGGGAGGAAGTTGTGTAAATTGCCAAGAAACGTGGATTTATAAAATATTATTCAAAAAACGAAATTTTATACTTTGAATCCATCCAACTAATATCTCCAATATACCAGGCGACCAATATTCCAAAATATATTCTTTCTTTTTCCACACATAGTTTGATAAGAATGTATATTTTTTGTATCTTTCAATATGATACAAGGGCAGTAGTCTCTAGATTATGTAGCTACTGAAGATTCCTAATATAGAGAGATCACATGTATATGCGAAAAATACACCTTCTGAATTGTTGAAATAACTCACTTATTTTCTCATGCACAAATAAAAAAGCAACTAGACCCAACAATCCGCTATAGAACATTAGAACGTTACGTCATAATGTAGAAATCAAGCTCGTGAACAAGACTAAAGAAACTCTCGAATACACACATAGAAGAAGAAGAAGAAGAAGAAACAGAGTATTTTTTTTTGTTGGAAATGGAAAAAATGGAAATCGATCACATTAAATGACAGCTGGGTTCCGCTGGGTTATAATGAGGCCCATTAAGGCAGCCCATATATAATACTTAAACATACAGAGGCCGAGTTTAGACGTTCTAAAGTGGCGTTGTCTTGTCTTTTTAATACTTCAACTAGATACGGCGCGGGTGAAAATTACCGGGTTTTTAATCCTTTGTACGTTACGGGATAATTTATTTGTGTTTGCTTTACTTTATTTTGATTATTAATTAAATTCTATCATTTTTAGATTGTATTTTTTGTGTTGGTTTCGAATATGTTCAAAATTATTTAAATTGTATGATTTTAGTTGGATTGTTAATTTTAGAACAATATGTGACATATATACATGTATAAATATTATACTATGAATCATTTTTAAAGTTTAGGGATTGACCCGCGGTACACCGCATAATCATAAATACATGATTTTAACTTGGACCTTTTATGCAGTTTTGTAGAATTGCAAATATCTAGAATAAACAAATAAAGAGCCAATGATTTCTTATTTCTTATCGTGTTAAAATGTAAAATCTGTGTTTATGTTACAATTTTCTGGTAGCAGAAACTTATTTATATAGATAATATTTTCTTAGAGTTAGGTTAGCGTTGAAAAAAAGATTAGTTTTATAATCAAGCCAGAAATTCGAAACTATTGCCAAATAAATATATTAAAGATGGTTGAAAATGAATTATCCCGTAATTGGTGTGAAGATCATAGTTAATATAGGAGAAAACTATACATCTAAATATTAATATAAGATATTTAAGGAACATTTTGTTTTGAAATATTATGGATAATTTGATAAATATTTTATATTTAATTTATATTTCTGATTTTTAGGTTAATTTGTTAAACCAATATACAAAATCATACATTAATGTATTTTTCTTTAAACAAATTAAGATTAATGTACTTTCCAAAACCGATATTGATGGTTTAATTTGGTAGATTTCGAAATAATATATATGGAAACTGGTATTTAATATCTTTAAATTTTTAGTAAGATCCAATTGAAAAATTTCGGGTTAATTTTTAAAAAAAACCCGACCCAAGAAACTTTTGTACTTCTCTTTTACTATAATAGGGATAAACAGTAGTATCTATCTATAAACTTTAATTTAAAATGATAAATACATTAAATAAAAATATCTTATTATATAAAAGCAAGTCGTCCATCATATTATTATTCATCATCCCACTTATCCGTTTCACTCTTTTGATTTTGAGGAAAAAATGTGATTTATTCTTATTCTTATTATTATACAACTAATAATACTAGTATTTTTACTCGTCACTATCTAATTAGGTTTGAATCAATAGTGTTTTCTATACATAAGAAAGTGCTAACCGAAATCTAAATCTTGTTTTCTTTTGTTGTGTGTGAAACATCAAAAACTTCTCAATTAACTAGTCATTCTCCAAACAAGATGATGAAGGAGAGGAGGAACATAGTGAAGAGAAACAACGATCGTTTTGATTCCTCTCCAAAGAGAAGAAGATGAATATCTTTTGGTTTTGCTGATCAAACCCATCTTCTGATCTATATTTTAGTGGTATATTTGGTGGTATTTTTGGAAAATAAAACTCATAATGGTATATTTAGAAAAAATACTCATTTTAATGGTATTTAAGAGAATTCCTCTTGAGTTTGAGAAAACTTTTATACATTTTACATATGTTGTACCAGCTGTGTATATATATTTATGTTTGTCTCAATGATTTTGTGATTTTCACTTGATTTACCGTAAATTTCATATGCAGGTTGTGCAGAGAGACATATACAACAAAATTGTAAAATATATATATAGAAACTTAACTGAAACTGTTGTGAATCAATCTATTCTTTATAAAATTGGTTTGATGTTAGTCCAAAAATGATTTATTTGTTTTTTTTTTCTTGCTTTTATTATAACATGTTCAGTGGTAACACCCTTATAAAACAATTAATTATGATGTTTTAGGTAATAGTGATTTTAAACACCCACAAATGTGTTTTAAATTAGACATAAATCTAAAGTTTTAGACCATACTTAATTATTATATTCTAAAATATATGTTAAAACACTCATAAAATCATCATTGTTCATGCACTTAGAACTAGTGAGCTTAATACCTAATCAACAATCTATGTTCAGCTCTAGTCTTCCTAGATTAACGGTTTTACCTAAATTGCGTGAAACACAAGAGTCTCTCTAAGGTTCCATTCGATCTACGTGTATATGTGTTAATCAAACTGAGAACTATGTTCAAAGAACATTTGTGTTTATTTGAAAACATTAAGGAAACAAATCGTTGTAATAGAATAGTGTTTTTTCCAACCTCTTACTGTTTTGGTCCTCACTAGTTACTCCTAAGGATAGGGTAGGTTCGTCTATTTAAAGTTTTCTATTGTCACTTTCAGCACAAAACATGTTGTTTGATTCAAAATTGATTGTCTCGATGTAAATTCGTTTGGTTCAGTTTTATGACCGACCCATGACCCCATATATCTAACGATTCATTACACAGAGGTTTGGACCAAATCCTCCAACTATAGCCCTATCTTTGCCTCCTAACTATTTGTACCGGTAAGAGTTTCTGACTCCATCTATCATTTATGTGTGAATAGTACTAGACTACGATTCATTTTGGTATACCTTGAAGGTGTCACAATAGGAGAAAGAAAGATGCCTTTGGCTTCTTATCTCATTGATGATGAAAATTATGGTTTATACAAACAAACAAAAAGGACAAAAGTGTAACGGTGGATCATCTATAAGAACTAATATAATGTTCTTCTTTTTTTTTTCTTGTGTGTGTGTGTATGTGTGTCTAAACCTAATTTAAAATCTATAATATAGTAACAACTGCCAATTCATTGGAGTTGTCTTTTGTAGCCTCACATGGAAAAGCATAGGTTACATATTTAAGCCCCATTCGTTATCTGTTCCTTCCTCCTTTACAGATATTACATATCCTTTTGGACCTTTCTGTAACCAAAAACAAACACAAATAAACAACATTATCATTACAAATATTCTCAAGTTGGTTACCTCCACTATACTATGAGTCACACACACTTGGAAAATGATAGTAATTAAAGCAGCTTTAGTATTCAATAACCAAGTTAATTATTAAATTATGCAAGTTGGTACGTATCATATTCATATGGAAGATATAATTAAATGTAATGAGGTGGATTTTGTTACCTGAAAACATGGAAAGGAGACCACAACCCAGTAGAGATGTTGCGTTGATACGTATATTTTATATACATGTAGCTTGTATTGCAAGTATATATATATATATCTATGTACAAGTGAGTATATGAGACTTCGAATATAGCTTTTAGCTATTTGAGTCTCTCTTGTTGGAGGATTTTTTGGTATCTTGGAAACACATTTTTACAAGCTGAAACCTGCAAATTGATTCATCAAACACAAAAATTAACAACTTCGTCTGATACTTTAAATCATGACCCATGTCTTAGGTGTTGTAAGTGGCGTTGTCATGTCTTAATACTTTAATAAACAGTAGTATCTATCTATAAACTTATATTTAAAATGAAAAATAAAATAAGAAGATTTATATATATAAAAAGCAAGTCGTCCATCATTATTATTATTCATCATCCCACACGGTTCCCACTCGGAAACATCCGTTTCACTCTTTTCATTTTTGAGGAAAAAATATGATTTATTCTTATTCTTTATTATTATACAACTAATGCTACTATATTCGTCACTATCTAATTAGGTTTGAATAAAAAGTGTTTTCTATACATTAGAAAGTGCTAATCGAAATACAAATCTTGTTTTCTTTTGTTGTGTGTGAAAAATCAAACCTTCTAAATTGACTAGTCATTTTCCAAACCTACTAGTCACATACAAACCTACAAAGAACCCTTGGTGCCAAGAAAATAAAAATGTGTGATTTAATTCAAAAACGTTGACCATATATGTATAATATCTATCAAAAGTCACATGCTATTCCTGACCGAGGCTGATATTGTATTAGTGGTAGATAAAACAGCATCTTAGATATTAAACAACTAGTAGGAGTACTAGATTTGAAAACTAATAAATTTGGGATACGGCCTAATTTTAATATTCTAACACTAATAATGCTTATGTAACGGCTCAAAGTTAATAAAATAAGATGGTTTTCAAAGTGAGAAAGAACAAACAAACAAAAACTTACGGATTCGATGTCGATTTTGAAGACTAGGAGCTTTCGTCTCTCTCTACAACTTGTTCGGTACGCCACAACGATGTGACCGATGGCTAAGACCCAAGAACAGACGAAGAGGGTCATCTCCTCTGTTCGGAAATATCCACCGATCACAGGCTCCCCGAACACAATCGCTGCCTTGAACGATACGTAGATCAGTGAAGATATCGAGCAGATCATCGTTATCGTCAGATATGGTCCTCTCGATAACTTTGGTCCGTCACAAAGCCCGTAAACGCCTGTTATCAAGAAACATACATGTTTTAAAAAAAAGTTCATATGAGACCAAAACAGTACTCTCTGGCTTTTCTGCTTTTTTGATACTTTTTGGAAATTGAAATAATAAATCTGCGCAAATCTAGCAGAAATTTAAGGCACATGCTAATTTCTTTTCTTTTTTTTGTGGATAAAAGCACATGCTAATTTCAAGAGGTGAATTTTCTTTGGAAAAAAATCATAATTTTCAAGAACTTAAGCAAGAACAGAGCACTTCTCAGTTCTCAGACCAAAAAAAAAACAAGAACAGAGTAGTTTCCATATTTAGAAAAACAGAACAGAGTTAAGTTTCCCTAAATAAATTAATGGGTTACTTCACTTTCACTTACAAAGTATAATGGCGGATCTAATGATGGAGATGAGAGGTATATCGATGAGAGAATATCTGAAATCATAGTTGCTGAGATAAGAATAGATCGTCGCCGGAAAACTAGAAGGAGAAAGACGGTTGAGGGAGGATGAGGAGGAGAGGATAGCGGAGGGGAGAACGGCGTCGGCGACGGCGAGGAAGATCGGAGCAGAGAAGATGATGAAGGAGAGGAACATAGTGAAGAGAACAAAGATCGTTTTGATTCCTCTCCAAAGAGAAGATGAATATCTTCTAGTTTTGCTAATCTCTTCTTTGCTGATCAAACCCATCTTGATAAATATTTTTGCTTCTAGGGTTATGTACAGAGGATTTATGATGTAAGTGTATGATTTGGTTTATGGAGAGAGAAGGATTTGTTTGCAGAGACTTGTTTCGAGGGTTTTAAAAGGGTCGTAGATAACAAAAAAAAAGTTTGACGATGCTGACGATATAGCTGATGTGTATTTTTTTTTGGTTATAAAACAAAAAATAAATAATATCTCATCATTGATAACGACTCTTTTGTTTTATTTTCTGTTGAGTTATATTAAAACACTTGAAATTATGATGATGTTGTTTTGGATGTCTTCTCCAAGGAAAAATTATTCTAGCAAACCATAGTATATGATCAGTTTGGTTTGGTGCATTATTTGAAAATATTCCACGAGAGTTTTAAAAAACTTTTTGTGATTCTCACCTTGATTTATCGAGAAATTCATATGCAGTTTGAGCGAATAGTACTCATTTAAATTCGAAAAACATAAATATATAGAAACTTCTGAAATAAAATGGTAAAACGTTTAACTTTTTAAAAGTTTGTGTTGAGGACTAATTAAGGTGAGTAATTAAATTATTCATATAGACTGAATCGTTATATTTTTCTTGGCGAATAAAATATTTTGTGAATCATTTTTTTTTTATCTTATAAATTGGTTTGGTGATAGTCCAAAAATGATTTATTTTGTTTGTTTTTTTTTTAATTCGCACTATGAATGAAAAACAGTGAATAATGAATGGTAAAAAAATTTTTATCTGAAAGAGTTTTGTTTATTGCTTTTGTACTTGAACTCCTTTAGTTAACATTTGCATTCATTTATAAAAGCCAATTAAAATTTATATATCGTATATGAGAGATACCTAATCAACAATCCATGTTCAGTTCTAGCCTCCCTAGATTAACGGTATTACCTAAATTGCGTGAAACACAAGAATCTCTCTAAGGTTCCATTCAATCTACGCGTATATGTATTTATCAAATTGAGAACTATGTTCAAAGAACATTAGTGTTTATTTGAAAACATAAAGGTAAGCAAATCGTTGTAATAGAATAGTGTTATTTCCAGACATGTTACTATAAAAATTAGAGATGCTTGATAACAGTACAAAGGCGGATATAGAGGAACCGACCGATTTTAGCCATGTGAGCACTCAACACTGATCGTATTCATATTACTTTACTTTTAAAGATGATTATTCGAGTTTACTATCAATGAGTTCAGAACATCTTAATCTCTATAGTTTTGTTTTGTATGTGTAATTAGTAGTCACATCTCTCTTTTTTGGATTATATGTGTCGTTGATCGGCTGATGTTATGTATCTTTACAGTACAGTTAGAAAACATAAACCTAATTTTTGTATAGAAATTTTAAAATTTTTGCCAAATACTTTCCAGTTTGAAATTATATACATATTTTTAGTATTGTAAGTGCAACAATATAAAGATTTGAATTCCCTGAATTCATTTAATTCATATGATATATGTTGTTGACAAAAAAAAAAAAAAGGGATTGGCGAAGTTATTTAGTTTTGATATCTAAAAAGCCACGCTATGGCCTATGGTTTTCGTATTGTAAGTGCAATAGTATATAATTAATAAACAAAATCATATCGTATACGTAAGATTGATTAGGGAATTATAGTATCCCATTATAAACGAGTGCAAAATAATGAACCATGACCTTATGGCTGCGGTGTTGACTAATGACTAGTATTGAAAGAAACTTCTTACCTGTGAACTCACGAGAAGCATGTATGTTGGCCTTCATAGATAAGTCGTCTTTTCTAAAATGATACTAACGATCAATCAGCAGAAAGTTTTATTGAAAAACATAACAGTAGTACATTAAGGCTCGAGGGAAATCAACTTTTACAATTAGTAAATGATTTTTTTTTGTTCCTTGGCGTAATATGAATTTTCAATTTAGTAGAATCTGAAATCAAGAGTATGTTTTGGCCAACTTATGCTAGAGAGTTATAGGCATTAAGCCATTAGGCAAAAAACAAAAGTACAGAACCAGATAAAGAAAATCGGAGTAGGGTGTCCATGGGAAACTGTAAAGATGCAATCATATGTAGTAAACTTGTCGACAATAAAACAAAAAAAAAGAAGCAATTTTGATAGTATATTTTCATGACATTTTATTGTGTTTTTTTTCTTTTGTTTAACCTCTAATAGGAGAATACGTATTATGACAAACCCATATGGTGCTTAAAACTTCAACGACCTGTAAAATGGAAAAGAACTTAATCAGATTTCATATTTGGTATTCTTTTGTCAAAATCAGATTCATTTTTGATGAGGAAAACGAAATGCACAAAAAAAAAGAATAACTAAAAAAACTGTAAATCTCAAGGGAAAAAAGAAAAGTCAGAGAGAGAGACAAGAAAAACAAAAAAGGAGTGGCCAAGTGTAAGCCACCAGAGGCCATAGGCGGCAGAACGATCCGTCCATGTCAGCTTCGTGTCTCAGTTATCATCGTTTACGTTGTAGGAACAAGGAAGGAACCTTTTAGTCCATTCCAAAGGCGTCGGTCAGTAAATCTTTTTCTTGTTTCGGATAATTCTTTTCCTTTTCTAACATTTTATTTTGTGCATTTATATTGTGTTAGTGCTTCATTCGTCCACTTGGATTAGTATTATTTAGTAACAATTAGCATGTAGCGTCTACGCTTGGCCACTTGGCAAGCTAATTAGGACAAACCTTTTATGTCGATTAACAAACACATAACAAAATGCTACAACAAATATTTCAATATTTGGAAACCATTTTAGGTGTTGCTTATATGGGCTTATGGCTTACCACGTATACCCCATTTCATCATATAGGTTCGCGACATGTATTACTAACAAAGATATTATATGATCCTTTGTTTTGTATATTTTTATACGCACGGGATGATTCATACCTTACAAGGCAAGTATGACTTATTCATTTAGAAATATCTCTAATATTTTAATGATTAGTGGATTTTATATATTGAGACTCGTTTAGGATCATCGTCAGCTGTTATTGACCTGAGCCAAAAGCATATGACTATATAATTTCATTTTCACGTATGTTCAGTTATAGCATAACCAAAAAAACTAAGATGAGGAGAGTGAAAATCAGAAATACGTTTCCTTTTGATAAACTTAGAATTATACTTTTTAGAATACTACTGGTTGATAATATACTATATACCCGTAATTCATGATTCAATGTAAAAAGAAGAAATGATATATCAACTAATTTCTTTCAGATGACATAGCTTGTGTTGCTTGTGAAGCAAGAGACCTAGATGGTTGTATCACTTTTATTAACGAATGCAGACTCAGCCAAGTCGATGGCGCGTGCGAGTCCCGCAGCTTTGTTCTGGCACTCACGGTGCTCATCTTCTGGGTCACTATCGGCTACAATGCCTGCACCTGCTTGGAGATAAGCTATCCACTCACGGCGCGGCGTGTTGCTGTCTTTGTATGAGTACATTGTGTCGTAACGAGCTTGTGTAGGGAACACAGTGGTCCTAAGTGCCAAAGCAATGTCCATGTCTCCTGTAAATGAAACACTACCGAATCCACCACTATATGGACCTCTTCTGGTCACCTCTAGCTCGTCAATTAACTCCATAGCTTTCACCTTTGGAGCTCCGCTAACAGTTCCAACTGGCAAAGCCGCACGAAGAGTGTCCCAGCAAGTCAGATTATCTTGCAACTCTCCAGTCACCTGTTTACACGATTCAAGTTTATGAGCGTTTACATTTCCAGAGAAAAGGCAATCTGGTGGACGATGGGAAAGAGGGTTTGAAGATTGTAATGTTTCAACAAAAAAAATTGTATTACCGTTGAGCTGATATGCATGACATGGGAATAACGCTCTATATCCATGTACCTTTCCACCTTCACCGAACCGTTCTTCGATACCTGCTTTCATAAGCCCCCGGAGAGAGCCAATGAGGATATTAGCCGGTTGTAACTGTACTATAGGTTAAAATTAATATGTTCTTTGTATAAGAAAAATATTAGCATAGAAACACATAAGACGTTGAAACTAATTGGTTGCTTTCAATAATTGCTTAAAGCTAGAAGAGACAGGCTAACCTTTCCAACATCGTTGCGACCCAAGTCAACCAGCATGATGTGTTCCGCACACTGTTTTTCGTCTTTTAATAGTGCCTCCTCCAACATCTGATCCTCTTCAAAAGTCTTGCCCCGTCTTGCAGTTCCTGCTAGTGGTCTATTCACGATCTTGTTCTGTTTTACAATATCAAAAAAGTGTTTTTAGCTCTGTTTTTTTTGTCCCTGTAACATATATAACAATAAGTTCAAGAGAGAAAATGTTATGTGAGCTGCTTACTTTCTTCACTCGAGTGAGAATTTCAGGACTTGAAGCTACTAGTATACAACCTCTAGCCTGGTCAGGTAAAGATTATAAAGTAAACAGCAAAACAGAGAAGATAAAGTAAACCACTTAAAGGAGATGAAAAAAATGATATATGAGAAGCACTGACTTGCAAGTAACACATAGAAGGACTTGGGTTCACAATCCTTAGAGCTCTATAAACTTCAAACGGATGAGCAAAGGTGCGGCGCTCAAATCGTTGACTTAAAACAATCTGAAAGATATCTCCCGCTAAGATGTGTTCTTTGGCCTGAAGTACAGCATTCTTATACGCATCGCTTGTCATGCTTGAATTTTCCAAAGGAGTGCCAAATTGATTTGTGTGTAGGTCTACTGATCCATAAGGTAGCTTGGGGCTGAAAACACAAATATATAACTCAAGTTAGAGATACAAATTAAAACAGATACAAGGCTGAAAAAGAAAGAGTTAACTCACGGAGTTATGCATTTGATCTTCGAAACCAGCTCTTCCAAGTGTTTCACACCATTAGCATAAACATCATCAAGTGATGAGTTGTCAGATAACCTCACCCAATGAATAATATGCATTTTCTGTAGAAGAATAAAGCAAAATTCACACTGAGTTTTAAAGAGTAACCAAAATCTTCATGAAAAGTTCAAGAGATTTGTAACACCTTTTCGACATGATCAAAGACAATCACATCATCATAAAGACCAAGATGCATGTCTGGTAAGTTCCTGTCATCTATAGGAGCCTTGGAGAATGGTAACTTTCTCTTTTCAGCATAACGAACGGTATCATAAGAAAAGTAACCAACCCATCCACCTGTTGATATTAACAAAGCTCACATTTTGACCTAATTGTCATTATGATCTCAAACTAAACCAAAATTTTCAACCTCATTGTCATTATTATGATCTCAAAGTAACCAAACCAGACTAGTTAGCAACAAATCACTCACCACAAAAAGCATCAGGAAGCTCATCGATCAATTGAGGTTTCCAAGTCTCTGAGATTCTTCTAGGAATCAACATTGGATCTTCAACCTCCTCTGTTGTCAAAGTACCTTTGACATGATCCATGACTGTCACTTTGTTCTCCTTAGCCACAATTTCCATTTTAGGGTGTGCTCCAACCACACTATATCTTCCCTAAAGGATTCATAAATCAGTTTGATTTGAGAGAGAATGAGCGGAAGCAAACAAAAAGATTTTAAAAAATTGAGACTTCTTACAACAGTGGAAGAGTGATGTCCTGGCTCAACTGATTCGAAAAGGAAGCTTGGAGCCTCTTGATCATCTTCTTTGACAAGACAACGGTAAGCGAGAACAGGAGTGAGATGGTCGGAGAAAATGGTGTGGCGAAGCGGAACTAAGTTCTCCTTCTTAGAACCTTCGGCGAACTTCATGGCTTCACTTGCTGCAACAAAACCAAGAAACCAATTCCAATGATCTCTCTAAATCTTCAAAATAAATGATAAGGTGTAATAAAAGAGTTGAGATGATGCACCTGAAGAGGGATAGGACAAGATAGAACCGCATTTGATGGGAGTGACGAAGGATAATGAACTGGGAGAGGAGCATCTTTTGGTAATTACGGTGACCGGTGAAGGTGGAGAGAGGCGGTGGCCGGACGGCGAGAGACGTAAGCTGAGGCCAGGGGATTGCATCATTCCGAGCGCGTGCATGGTGACTGAGAGTTTTGAGATTCAGAATCAGACGTCGTTGAGAAGAAAAAAGATTGTTTAGTATTTGCCACTTTCCAAAACCACTACTTTTTTTCCATCCTCAACTTTCTTATTTTGCTATTTAGGCTGCTATATATGTATATACATCATTTGACCAGATTTGTGTTATTCAACTTTTTTTTTTTTTTTTTCTTTCTCGAAATTAATTCTGTGTTTCACATTTTATAAATTTTTATGCAAATGAAAACGAAAGACTCCTATGACAAGTTTCTCCTTGAACTTAAAGAGTATATGTTAGTTAGTATGTACTATGTTACAACATGCACTTTTGCAACTTTTCATATGATATAGGAGTATTATTTAAGATTTAAGATTAGATGTACTACTATGTCTCGCATAACTATACAATATGGGTTGATTAAATTGTGACGTGTCATGTGATCTGTTAAGATCTGTTAAGTATCATCATCTATGAAATTCTAAATAATTATCTTTCACATATCTATCAAAAGAAATACATCTATTTAGATTCTTTGCTATTTTGTTTTTTTTTCTTCTTTCTTTGAAAGAATCTTGCTGTTTAAATGCTTGAAAAAAAAAGATTTGTTTCTGTTTTCGGAAAAATACTGGCGTAAGAAGTTCTATGGAAACTCTAACAAAAGAAAGAAAGTTAAATGGAATATCAAATGTTGACCAAACGAGAGAGGAAACCTCATCTGAACGGGCTTAAAGAATGATAATGGGCTTAAGTGTACAACAAAGCCTTTTAACGAAGAAGCTTCACACGCGCATCCCACATCGGATGTTAAGAGGGTTTGCTACTGAAAGTTTCGGTATAAATAGACTTCACTCTCCCATTGTAAAAAACCACGCAGCCATGTGGTGAGCACAAAGCGAACTATTCTTTCGCCTTTTACTAAAGAATACCGTGTGCTCTCCACGCTAAGTGGCATACGCCTATTTTTGGAGGGTTCTCGCTTCACCGCGAGCCCCAACATTCACTCTAGTCTGAATATTTTCATAGGCTGGCTATTGGGCTGTCAAAGAAAAAAGGCCAAGTTCAGTTATGTACTAATGTTTATTAATGGGATTTTAAATATTCTAATATAACAATAAGCCCAGTGGAATTTATAGAAAAATACAATACAGTACATATTACATAATATGAAATTGATAATTACAACATGCAAGTTGAACATCCCTATATTAGTAAAAGAGAAGTACAAAATGGAATACAGGTCGGGTCAAAATTAAAAAATTAACCCGATTTTAACAATTGGATACTTCAAAATTGGATATTAAATTGGGTTCGGATACATACATCGGATACTTCCTATATCTAATTTTAAAATTGTATTATTTCCTTAACTAATTATAGGATTTCCTAATATTTCTCTAACTAATTTATTATAATCTATTAAAAAAATTATTATTCTTCTTTTACTTTCATTTGATCTTATTTTTAATTTATGATATTATACTATATAATATAAATATTTAATAAAAATTCAAATTTTTTTTGCATATGTTGCAATTTGAAATTTTCAAAACGGACATATAATACTCAACTACACTCGACTAAATATTTTGGAAAATGGTTTAAAATCATTATAAGTTTGACCAGTATTAAAACTATTGTTACATGAGCATATTTAAAATTTCAAAAAATTTCAAAATATTAAAAATAAAAAGTTTAAATATATAAAAAAAAATTTAAATTTTAAATATTGAAAATATTTTTTTGAAGACATAAATGTAATTTTGGAGACATAATTTTTATTGATAAAATATATTATATATCAAACTATGTATTTTAGATTGTTCACCGGTAGTTTGTTAAAATCACAAATATAATGATAAAGCGTGTTATGAGTAATGTTTTTTACGAAATGAATTCTGTTACGGGTTGGTCCTTCAAAAAATATATTGTAAATATGTAAGTTTTACGTATATTCTTATTTTTACTACAATAATGGTCAAAACGAATAATTTATCGATAAATATTATTTCGTGCTGTTAAATTTTTTAATTTTATCAAAACTCAATATATGATTATTTATTCGCTTTTTTCTTTATTATTTTATTTAAATTTAGTATACAAATATATGATTTACCGTAATCGACTGAACTGCAATAAAATTAAAATGTAGCATTTTCTAATATGTTAAAGATTATATATATGTAATTATTTCCCGCGCGCTGTAGCGCGGGTCCGAACCTAGTATAGACTTATAGAGCTACCGAAGTGGAGCATTTCAAGTGGAAACGTAACATTTAATTTGTTTCCTTGGTTGTTGTTGTATATGTCTTAGACTCTCTCCGGCCACCATGAACCTCTTCGTTGTCCTTTCAGCTGTCACCTTCCTCGTTATCTCCGTCGCGTATCTTCCTCTGCTCAGCGACTTATGTAGTCAACGCCTTATACCATTCCCAGCTTCCTTCTTCTCAAATTAGCATTATTTGGACTGTTTTTGAGTTTTTGACTGATTCGATTCACGTTTCGCAGATTGGTCAGCTCTGAAGTCTCATATACCACCGGTTGGTATCGTGGCGGATTTGTTAGTGAGAAATGGAACAATCTTCACCAGCGATAGCTCTTTGCCATTTGCTGATTCCATGGCGGTTCGTAATGGCAGGATTCTTAAAGTCGGAAGCTTTGCCACTCTCAAGGTTCTTCACTCTTTCAATGTTCATTGTGGTTGTTGTAGTATTATTGTTCAAGTGGTTGATAAATTTCTCTGCTGCGATTATACCTACTTCACTAGCATGAATTAATCTGAAAGTTAAATACTTTGTTTCCGTTCTCATGTAATTTATAATTTTGATGAAGACAGGGTCTTATAGGAGATGGAACTAAGGAGGTGAACTTGGAAGGGAAAGTTGTAATACCTGGACTTATTGATTCACATGTTCATTTGATTTCTGGGGGATTGCAGGTGATAATGAAAATTTTACTTCTGTCTTCTTTATTATTCTCTTAACTGATAGTAAGTTAACCTGAGAGTAGATGATTACATGCCATTGTTAGATCAGATTTAGTCATGAAACAGTATACTATACTCTCTTTTACCTTTCTCTCCTTTCTTTTCATTGACTTTTTTCGCTTGAGCATAGATGGGCCAAGTTGGACTTCGTGGAGTGAGTCAAAAAGATGAGTTTTGTAAACTGGTGAAGGACGCAGTGCAGAGTAATTTTAATATTTCATTACTTTGAACAATCATATTGTGGTTACATTCCTTTGTTGGTGTCTGTTTTTAGTTATGGGTGTACAGTGAATACTTTTCGTATTAAGTTTGGTGGGTTTCTTAGTAGTGGGAGAGTATTTAATATATTATGCTTATCTGATGAACAAAAAAATTCAGATGCAAAAGAAGGCTCATGGATTCTAGGAGGTGGATGGAACAATGATGTTTGGGGAGGAGAAATGCCCTCTGCATCATGGATTGATGAAATCTCCCCTCATAATCCTGTATGAACTCTGCTGACTTTTCTGTTTGTTTGTCAATAGTCTACAATCATCGCTTTTTTAATATATTTTTCTCTTCATTTAGGTTTGGTTGATTAGGATGGATAGTCATATGGCATTGGCAAATTCCCTTGCGCTTAGGATTGCTGGTGTTACGAGTTTAACTGAAGATCCAGTTGGTGGAACGATAATGAGGATGCCTAGTGGCGGTAATACTTTTTTCAAGTAATGTATATTCATTTAACATGTGCCCTGCTTATGCTTCCAATACTTGGAATTGCAGAGACACTTATATATTTTGTGAGTGTGTATACTTATCATCAGCTGGTACTTGCTTTTATGGTTGAATCAATGCAGAGCCGACAGGTCTTTTGATTGATGCTGCTATGGAACTGGTCACCCCCTGGGTTAAAGAAATCTCAGTAGATGAACGTAGGGAAGCAATTTTTAGAGCTAGCAAATATGCTTTGACTAGAGGCGTAACAACTGTTATTGATGTTGGAAGATACTATCCTGGTACTACGGATGAGCTCTCCTGGAAAGACTTTCAAGGTGCAATAAATCGTTATGTTAACCATGAGTGAGATGACTTGTCACATTCACACTTGCTTGTTGCTAAAATAGAGAGAATTTGATGACTCTTACCTGACAGCCGTAAATTGGAAAGGGTTTTAACTTTTTAGTACAAACTCATTTGAGTTCCATACTCCTTCTTATGGTATAGATGTCTACCTATGGGCTGATTCCTCGAAGATGATGATGATACGGACTTGTTTGTTTTTTCCGATAACAACATGGTCACGTTTAATGGTATGATTTCTTCAGAATCAACTCCTTTTCTCTGATAAATAGAATGGAGTATTTGTACAAGTAGTTTTGTGCTTCTTTAGCATGAGAAACTAAGTATATTTTGTAGCATTCTTCAACTTCATGATTTACGATTTACAGAGACTTCTCATATTTCATTGTGATCTGCATCTCATATATCATCAGTGAACTTTGGGATTTCCTGATTTTTAAATTCTCTTTTGATGTATGAGGTTGTATATCATCTGTGCTATGATGCTATTAATGTCACCCCATTCTCCTTTCACCGTTTCTTGCACAGTTAATCTTGTGCTTTTACTGCATTTACTTGAAATTCTATTTGTGCTAATCTTCGTTGACTTCATAATTTTAGGATCTTAAGCTTCAGAAGGGACCTGTACTGAGTGAATGGTTGTACCTAGGTGGCGTCAAAGCATTTATTGATGGCTCTCTAGGTTCTAATAGTGCACTTTTTTACGAGGTGAAGAATACTATATTCTTTCTAATTCCTCTGCTATGTATTCCTTGAAATTAATTTCATGTTGTTCACATTAATCGAATATACCACTATACAGTTTGTTATAAGTTATTTATCCTTCAGCAGCACTAAAGAGTCCCACATCTGATATCTGTTTGCAGGAATATATTGATACACCTAAGAATTATGGGTTAGCAGTGATGGATCCTGAGAAACTTACCAATTTCACAATGGCAGCAGACAAAGCAG